TTAGGGAAAGAAAAAAAAAAAAAACACAACCAAAAAAAAAAAAAAATATATTTTTTTTTTTAAAAAAAAAAAAAAATAAAATTTATTTTTTAAAAAAAAAAAAAAAAAAGAAAACGAAAAACTAATAATAATAAGAATAATAATAATGATAATAAGTGAAAAATGAGAGAAACGTATAATGAAAGACAAGAAAGAAGATGGCACAAGCACATTCAAACACAAGTATAATGAATACATACATACATAGGCATAACAATATCAATATGTACGCTGTATGACCAAATGCTGCACTATGAGGAGGCGAACCTATGCTCAATCAAAGAAATTTCAATTTTATGTAAAATTTCACACTATCATTGCTTACACATACAAATATTTAAATAAATAACACTGATGGTATAAAAAAATAAAAATAAAAAATATAAAAAAAATAAAAAATAAAAAATAAAAAAAATAAAAATAAAAAATAAAAAATAAAAAAAATAAAAAAAAAAAAAAAAAAAGAGAAAGAAGAAGAGAGAGAGAAAAAGGAGAGCAGAAGTCATTCTAGCAACAAGAAGCAAATGAACATAGACCACAAAAGGAGAAACACAACCAAAAATAACTAAAAAAAAAAAAAAATCAAAGAAGAAAAAGCGCATAATGATCTTTGACAAACACAACTTACATTACACATACTTACCTCAATATCGTTAATCTATATAGTGACAGTGTCTGATCAGGGTACTCACACAGCCCAATTCAACCTATCTCATCGCATCACAGCATTCAGCCCACCAGTTTTACAGTCCGTAAATGAGACACTTCAAACAATTCCGCCCCCAGAAATTCCTATGACAGACATCGAAATGAGATTACTAACACAACTCAATCCACAACACTTCAACGTTCAATCACCTATCAATCTCAAAGCCCTACGAATACTTACAGACACACATCCCAATCGGCCCTTCATTGAATACATAATCAAAGGCATAAGACATGGTTTTTGATTCAACTTCAAAGGCAACTGAATAAAGCTAATCCAAGGAAACCTGCCCTCTACTAATACTGCCCCTGAAGCTTTCGCTTCATATATTGCCAACAAACTTAAAAACAGCTGTATGTGCGGGCCCTTCCATGAGGACAACCCACCCTGTGATTTTTTCCAGACCAACCTATGTGGCCTTGTTGAAAAGAAACACACCAACCCCACAGCTTATCATATTATTTCTCACCTTTCTTCGCCACCAGACAACAGCATAAATGATAGAATAGACAAGCTCGAATTCGGCACAAAATACGAAAACGTAAACCATGTGATTACGTTGGTGAAATGGCAGAAAATTTCTCCTGAAGCCCGGTTGCCGAAGGCTAGGACTTTGTCGAAGTAAATCTCGTTTCCAATACTGACTCCTTGT